GAGAGAGAGAGAGAGGGGGGGGGGAGAGAAAAAAGAGACTGGAGCGCACGTAACCACATATTCACGCGTTTATCACTTTGTCTCTTAGCTTCGTCTTGTATTTGATGTGACTTTTTCCATATATATGCAAGGTCACGTTGAGAACTCCGCAAAGAAGATCGATTCTTTCATAGCTAGCATGAGTTTATAACTTATTTTCATAACGCGGTCTCAAGGTTTGCGCGTCTGTCTCGCTTCGGATTAACTATCATATTCGTTTAAAGCGAAATATCGCTTATATCGATAAATCTGCATTGCATTTATATGGTGAAAAATATTTCTACATATGCTCACGAGATTAAAAAATTTATGGTGACTAACTGAAGTTAACGGACATAGTTTTTCAGTTGTGAAAAACGTTGTGTCTATATAACCTAACCTAACCTAATCTGATACACTTTTTAATACATTTTTTCATTTTTTATCATAAGGTTGCTATAGAAAACATTCTTTGCGTACAAATCTTCTTTTGAAAATGTATAAACAAATTAAATAGAAATTAATGATATCATGTGATTCAAGCATTTTTTAAGGAATTTTAGTTAAAGAAAAAACATTGAAAATGCAATGTACACATGTGTTTTTAAAATATATCATTGTGACATATTTACTTCAAAGTGTGTGTTATGAGCAGAATGTAATTAGTGAATTTTCTTATTTGTGAACAACAATCTGCTCAAAATGAATACTGTACAATTTGATATAAAAATTATTCACAAAAGATACAGCAATGATCTAAACTATTAATTTTATCAATAATTTATTATGTAAATTATTTAAAATTAACGTAGAATATAACATGATGGTAGAAGTAATAATCTGTAAGCGTTTGAAGATTTTGTGAAAAATAGTAATTTATACGTCATATATTTTTTATCAAGATAATATATATACATAACAGTGCATATACATAAACATCTACGCAACATCGGAATATAATTTATTTTTTTGAGAAAAATTATTTTTGATTTTTTTTTATTAGAGTTTTATTAGGTGTGTGCATATTTTTCTATTAATTCTTACATTTTGTAATTTGTTACTTTTTATGCTTATATAAAATATAAGTTGACTTTAAAATAGAGTCTGTTGCTGCATGTCAACTAAACTCTTGCTGCAAGTAAATTGCATTTAAACATATTTTTGACTGGAATATATTTCTTGATAATTGATAGTAATATGCAAAAATTACTTATCTTTATTTTTAGTATGTCTGATGTGATTTGCGATGAAACGTGTTCGCGGACTGGATGACGTAGCATCACCACCAGCAAAGCACTCGTCAGTGAGTGCGGGAAGTGGCATAGGTGGTGGAGGAGGAGGTAGTTTAGAATATCACACAAGCAGTGGGATAGGCGTCGTTGTACCCGGCCAAGCAGTTCGATCTGTTACATCAAAAGAAATGCCAGGAAGCATACAATTTGGTACTGCTCAAACTCAACAGCAGTACACCGGTGCGATTGTTGTGCCAACTGCGGCACCGTCTCCTATTAAAGTAAGTTGCCATGTGCGATAACAATAAATGAATAAGGAAATATTGTAATATATTGCAAATATATCATATTTAGCAAGCAAACAACTCTACGGCAGGACTAAGTTCCACATGTGGCGGTAGCAGCATAAATACTAGCGGAGGCTTACACAGCGGAATAGGTGGTGGCAGTAGTCACACTATGGCCTCTCAACAACCTACATCGGGATCACAAAATCAAGCCCACACTCAACAACAATCGACAATAAGGCATAAGGTTTGCATTGTCTAATTTTTTCTTGAAATAAAGAGGGGAAGTACATATCACTGTTAAGTGTTAGCTATTATAAAAAGCTTGTAAAGGATATGTAATTGTAATTATAGGTACACTCTGGTAATGTAACGCCTATGGCTTCTACTCCGCCTGGTGGTCCTAATCTGGGAGGAGGAAGTGGGTCTCAACAGTTTCAGAGATTAAAAGTGGAAGATGCATTGTCTTATCTGGATCAAGTCAAGTATAAATTCAGTGATCAACCGCAGGTGAATAACAAGAAATTACAAATTATGTATAAAGTGATGCTTGTACACTCAAACATTGCAAATTTCTTTGAACGTGTTTATTGCATGATTTATTAAAGCGTGGAAATATGAAATTTTTAAATGCTTAGCTGCAGCGTGCCGATTTGTTTACGCCAATTGATTTGGTATCCACATTTAGTATTTTACATAATTTTAACGCGCCAATATCTTTATTTGCAGGTGTACAATGATTTCTTAGATATCATGAAGGAATTTAAATCTCAAAGTATAGATACTCCAGGGGTAATAACCCGAGTGAGTCATCTATTTAAAGGACACCCCGAACTCATTGTTGGCTTCAACACATTTCTCCCACCAGGTTATAAGATAGAGGTACAAGCGAACGAACAGGGATATGCCTTTCAAGTGTCAGTCAGTATGCCGAGTCCGACAGCAACACATACTGCCACGTTATCGCAGCATCATTGCACAGTAAATGTTGGTTCGCCTCCGGTGGCTAGTCCACCCACGCAGCCTGCAAAAGCACCCCCAGTTTTACAAATAATGCAAGGGTGAGTGAATATTTTATTAAACCAAATATAATTGGATGGAATGAATAAATTATTACGGGAGAAGATGCAATATTTGTGATTACGTCGGTCATTTTCAGGTCGGGAAATATACACCATACCATAGCAAACAGTATTACGACGAATAGTTTGACTGTTCATGCGCCTTCACCACCACCAGTACCGGTGTATAATAATTCACATATTAGTACCGCCCAGGCGCAAGCTGTCAGTCAAGCTTTAAGTCAAGCAGATGGTATATCAACTGGTGGACAAACGCAGCAAAGTCAGCCGGTTGAATTCAATCATGCGATAAACTACGTTAATAAGATCAAGGTAGAATTATATAACACATAAAATAGTAACAATTAAATAAAAATCCAAAACATCGTAGAATAATTGACATTGGCCCAACGGTTCACTTATTTTTATACAATAACATATATTACATTGTTTTTAGAATCGGTTCCAAGGTCAGCCGGACAAATACAAACGGTTTTTGGAGATATTACATACGTATCAAAAAGAGCAGCGAAATTTAAAGGAATCCGGCCATATAGGAGGTACAAATTCTGGTGCTACAGGAGGAACAAAACACTTAACAGAAGCAGAAGTTTATAGCCAAGTTGCTAAGTTATTTGAAAATCAAGAAGACTTGCTCGCTGAATTTGGACAATTTTTGCCAGATGCTACAAATCAGCAAAGTTCGTTGGTGAGTCGCTTATTTGTAATAGGATAAATAGGATACTTTTGAATTGTGGCTAAAATATTGCAATTTGCTTAAACGATCGACTTAAATTAACGTTTATTATATTTTAAAACGAAATATGAACAAGAACATTGCTTGCATTTTACAGTCAAAATTTTAGTAATAAGATTACATACACGCGGGAAAAAGGTCATATAAAAAGACAGCAAGGCACTCATGATCTACTTGCTGTATTTACGCATTTTATATTCATGTCTGCTATTATATAATATTTTTCCAATCTAAATCTTTGTATAGAAAAAACTTGTCATAAGACAAAATTAATCTTTATTTAGAAATTTTTTCTGTTTTATTTGTTGAAAATGTTTTCTCTTACTCTGTGAAAATAATTCTCATTCGTATTAGTCTGTCATGTTTCAGACTAATAAGACGACATCGGTTAACGATCATACGGCAATTGTTAAGAAACCGATTGGACTTAAAACACCTTACAACAATTCCGGAACTATTCCGAGAGATCTTCGAGAGTCCAGCGGTACAACCGGGTTGGAACGCGATAGTCGGGATCACAGAGAACGAGAACGAGATAGATCGAGCATAAGAGATATAAACAGCGGTCAGAAATTTGGACATAGTACAGGGCAATTAAAGAGGAGTCCGTCATTCTCGACTTCGACGACAGCAGGGAATTCTCATCACATACAACATGGACCACCGCCTTTAAAAAAGCACAAAGTGGCTTCGATGCGTGACGTTACCGTTACGGAAGCTGGAAAATATGGCACCTTGAACGACTATGCTTTCTTCGACAAGGTAAGTGTTACTTTTGTAATTATTTCATTTTGACTACTTCCTACATACAAGTTTCTTTAAACAAATATAAATACTTAGGTTCGAAAGACGCTTAGATCGCAAGAGGTTTACGAAAATTTTCTTCGATGTCTCGTACTTTTTAATCAAGAGATAGTATCGAAATCTGAACTTGTTCAATTGGTGACACCATTCCTCGGTCGTTTTCCCGAACTACTACGCTGGTTCAAAGATTTCCTCGGCTACTTACCTGATTCGTCCACTATTACAACGACAAACGCAGCAAACGTGATGGGTGTGGAGAATTTCCCGAATAATATCGTGCGGAGTCATCAAGAACGGCCGCAAGGTGACTTGGCGATGGAAATTGATTATACAGCGTGCAAAAGATTAGGAGCGTCGTATTGCGCATTGCCGAAATCATACATTCAACCAAAATGTAGCGGCAGAACGCAATTGTGTAAGGAAGTTCTTAACGATACCTGGGTTTCGTTTCCAACTTGGTCAGAAGACAGTACATTTGTAACGTCAAGGTAATTCATCGTTTTTATCTACTAAACTTGAAATTGAATCCTTTTGCAAAATTAATTGGAATACCAGGCTTTGAGGCTTGTAAAGTACATGTACATTTGTTTGCTTAGGAAAACTCAATACGAAGAATTTATATATCGATGCGAGGATGAACGTTTCGAATTAGACGTTGTCATAGAAACCAATGCGTCAACGATTAGAGTGCTTGAAGGAGTTCATAAAAAAATAAATAGAATGAGCCAAGAAGAAGCACAAAAGTTTAAGCTTGACGATTGTTTGGGTGGTTGTTCTTCCACAATTCATCAACGAGCGTTAAAGAGGATATATGGTGATAAAGCTGTTGATATTATAGAAGGTCTCAAGAAAAATCCTGTAGTAGCTGTGCCTGTTGTGCTCCGTCGATTGAAAGCCAAGGAGGAAGAATGGCGGGAGGCACAAAAGGGATTCAATAAAATCTGGCGAGAACAGAATGAGAAATATTACTTGAAATCCTTAGATCATCAGGGAATTAACTTCAAACAAAACGATGTAAAAGCATTGAGATCTAAAAGTTTATTCAATGAGATTGAAACTTTGTACGACGAGGTTAGTATACAATTTCGTATAATTTTCGTACAATTTACGTATAATTTAATTATACAATGTGGCTAAAAGATTGCGGGATTGAATTCAGAAAAAAATATCAAAAGTTTATAAGATTTAATTGCTCTTTAATGTTATACACAACTCCAATAGCGTTTAACATATTCAGTAAGATAATTACTATCCTCAAATCGTGCTATATTTTTACGCGTAATTTAATTTTGAGCAAAATGCAGTCAGCTAGAGGAATTAAAATCTAGTAAATACCTTTTTTTTGTATTTTTGAATTTTTTAGCCATATCGTGTATAAATGTATCTTGCGATATGTTACATATCACATATATACATGATCAATGGTCGCAGTGATAATATGATTCTCTATTTTCGAGGAAGCGCCATAATCGATATTGGAACCAAAATAATCATATATTTTTCATGGTAATAATAGTACTAATAAATATTTGAACAAATAAGATGCAAATCAGAACATTTTGCTTCGAAAGAGTGCTCAAAATCAGTTCAATCAGTTGTGTAACTCCGCGTTAATGAAATATATCAAGCATATATCATTCTATGCCATCAGCCGATGATAATGTCAGTCTAGGATTTCAGTGATGGCATTAATCAAAAGTAGCATGCTTTTTGATCAAAATTCAGTGGTATCATACCATTAGCATATCGCTACGAACACTGTATATATGTGATCAATTGATGTGTTATACATAAATCATTTAATGGATTAACGCGTTATACAGAGGCACGAACAAGGTGACGATGGTAACGGTGATGGCCAGGGAAACAACGGGCCGCACCTCATTTTGCCATACAAGGACAAATCTGTACTAGACGATGCTGCTAATCTTCTAATCCATCATGTTAAGCGGCAGACCGCTATTCACAAAGAAGACAAACAACGAATAAAACTTTTATTGAAGCATTTCATACCTGATCTCTTTTTCCATCCACGACAAGAACTTAGCGATGACGAGAGAGACGAGGACGGTAAGTTTTGCTTACTTTTTATTGTATTTGATATAACTGTTTATATAACTGTTATCTTTGTCTAAACGGGACACCTGCATGTTTCAAGTCATTGTTAAATTAACATTAAATATATTTTAATATATGCTCTACTTTTTTTCTAATTTAGATGAAAAAGAAGATATAAACGTGGCAGCATGTAATAATTCTCAATCTGTGACGACTACTTCATCGTTGAGTGGTTTGCAAGCTAATAGAAGTAAAACTCCCGCGTCGCCAAATACGTCTTTAACTCCCAACAAAAGTGAAACTGATATCAAAGTACCCATTCATGCTCTTTCGAACGATCCCGATGAGGCGTACACGCTTTTCATGGGTAGTAATAATTGGTACCTCTTTTTGAGGTTACACCACATACTTTGTGAAAGATTAACTAAAATGTACGACAGAGCAGTCACCCTCGCAGAAGAGGAGTCGAAATATAAACAGCAACGAAAAGAAAGTACAGCGGTCGCTCTGAGATTAAAACCAAAAAGTACGTAATTCATTTATGATATATAGAATCGTCTACAAAAAAATTACTTTGCGAATCAATGCAGCGGAGAATTGAAAATTCTTGCAATTTTTAAAATATAAATAACAATTTTTTTTAATATAAGGATTTATATCTAACTAATTATAAATAACATTTAAATGATCACCTATCTCTGTCAGTTGCACGAATAATACACGTAGTAATCGTATTCATTGATACCAGATCAAAGATTGTGTTATTGTTTGCTTACGCATACCATCATACGATGATGTGTTTTTATCAATGAAAATATTGATTATGAATTAATATGCACAAGCGGACTGTAACACAATTTTTTGCGTAGCATCAGTAAAACGGGCAGCAGCCATCTAATCTGTAACCGTCGATTGACTAATTTTAAATTCTTATATTTCAAACACTGTTTAAAATAAAAATTTGCATTATTTAAGTTTTTCGAAAATATATCCGTTATGGTATTCTGATTCGCAAACTTTGAAACTTTTGTATAATTTACTAATTGTCTGCACGTTGCATCCTATTAATTATTCTTTCATCTAGGTGAAATTGAAATTGAGGACTATTATCCTGCTTTCTTGGACATGGTTAAAAATGTCCTTGATGGTAATATGGAAAGTACAGCGTACGAGGATACGTTACGAGAGATGTTCGGTATACATGCCTATATAGCCTTTACTCTCGATAAAGTCGTAACTTATGCTGTGAGACAAGTAAGTAGATTTCGTTTCTTTTTACAATATTATGATAGAATAAGAACAGGTGTCTGAAACTATATACATTTCTGCCAGTTGCAGCACTTGGTCTCAGATCCTATATGTCAACAATGTATGGAATTATTCCAAAGAGAGCAACGTCAATCTAAAGAAAGCAGCGGAGGCGGTGGATTGTGTGCTACAGCGTATATGAGACTAGGAGCTGAATTGTCATATCAACGCAAAGCTGAAAAGGCAATGGCGGATGAAAATTGTTTCAAGATATACATAGTGAGTATCTCGGAGATATTTGATTTAATATACAATTATCAGTGACATTTTCAATGTAACAATACAGTTTATGATAGCTGTATATATACATGGAGCCGTATATATTGTGATAGCTATATACGTGTATACGTGGGATGTTTTTTAAAGTTCTGGAAATTTTGTTTTAAATTCTGTAATTTAAATTTTTGTCTATGTTACACTATAGTTTTTCAATACGATTCCCATTTAATTGTATACACTTATCCCAGCGTAAAACTAGTTCTTTTGAGCTCTCTTCATAAAACTTTTGTGCCTTTTACCCACGGCTTGTAGCTGGTTTCAGCCCTATCCAACTCCCCCACTACTTCGTGTCTTTCTGTCACCAGTTGGTACTAATCCGCCACATGGTGTTGGTTGTTCTGGTGGATTGTCAAATTCAGCTCAAATCGAAGAGAAATGACAAACCCATACTTAATCCAAGAAATAAATTTTAAAAGATCAAGTAGCAATAAAAATATCATCTTGTCATTTCTCTTTGATTTGAGCTGAATCTGACAATCAACCAGAACAACTAACGCCACACTGCGGATTAGTTCCAACTGGCAACATTACGAACACGATCTTTGCATACGTTTGGATAGGAAGTCAGAGAGAGCTGGCTAGTTTTAATGAAATCATGTAGAGGTTTTTTCGACTCAGGAAACAAATAAAAATCGCTGTGCGTCAGATCAAGTGAGTGCGCTGGATGTAAGAGTAATTCTCAGTGCAGATAATTTAAAACATTCTTAGTTTGGCGAGTAGTATTTCACAGTGTCTTCTATATTTGCAATATTAATATCTCAGAAATATGTCTATATTTGTCTCTAACGACCAAACAATACTGATTGCTGTTGGCTGGCATTCTGAGACACATATGTCAAAACTTATCTACGTATGCAAATATTGGTCGATAGTCTTTTGTTTTTTTAATTAGAACGCAATTCTTAGAACTTAGGAAACACCCCTCGTATGTGTATGTGTGTATACTCTTGTGTGTACGCGCGCGCGCGCTACGCTACAGTAGGCATAAGCCTCGGAAAAGAAAAAGTGAAAAATAACAAAATGATATCAGTTAAAAGTAAAAAATCGGTTTGTTGCCTAAAAATCAGTTTATTACAGGGTAAAAAATATTAATTTTTGAAATTTCAGGAAATCCGAGATTTATTTCCTAAAACAAAGTAGCGAAATGTATGCACAATTGCAAGATGACCGATTCAATAATTTTCTTACAATCTTGCACACGCGTTTTGAAAACATATTTTCGAGAAAAACGCGTTTAAAATTTCGCTGAACGTTCTCCGCGCGCTTAATTTTGGCGTCGTTGAACGCTTATAGCTCCTTCAATTTTTCGAATTTTTGGTATCTTTCGAAAAGATTTGAAATCTTTTAGGACAGTGGTTCCCAAACTTTTTCGTTTCACGGCGCCTTCAGTGTACAAGATTTTTTTTACAGCGCTTTAAGTCAGAAAATACTGAACAATTGCATTTTTGCTCATGCGGTTAAGTTAGGTTAGGTTAATTAGTTAAAAAAATAATGAGTCATATAGTTTAAATTCATAAAAGAAGTATATATTTGTTTTCTTTTTTAATAATTACTATAGTATTATGTATATAATCATTTACTAGTGGGATGGTTAACCACACAACCTGTTGTTTATCACACAATTTCTCAAATTTTGGAATCAAACTGGAAACAGCCACCCTTGATTTTTGCACGATACTTGCTTTTTATTCTTCTTACTCAATTTTCGAATATCTTGCGGTGCCCCTGGGAACAACCTGCGGCGTCTCGGGGCGCCGTGGCGCACACTTTGGAAACCACTGTTTTAGGACATTTTCAAGAATTGTAACTATTAGAATCTGCAAAAATAAAAAATCGAAAATTTCAAGATTTTATATGAGGAAAAACTCCCTTAAGTTAAATACGCACGCGCGCATGCACTCATATATGTATAGGATGTTTTTAAAATGTTTGACATAACTAACGATTACAAATCATTTTAATGAATGACTGACTGAATTGATAGAATACGTAAAATAGTAAAATTGGACCAAACAGTTTAGAAACGCCATGTACATCATGATTGTACAAGCTCA